TTAAAAATATGTTTTTATTGATTTTTTTAGACCACGAGAGCCATCAATGTGAAAGAGAAACATCTATCGGCTGCCTCCTGTATGCGCTGACTGGGGATTGAATCTGAAATCCTTTGGTGCACAGGATGACACTCCAACCAACTAGGCACCTGGCTAGGACTAAAGGCATTCTTTAAAAAAAAAAAAGATTAAAAAAAATAAACAAGGGTGACCAACTTACCCCAAATGGCCTATATTTTTCAAGTTAATGGTTTTATGTCCATCTTTAACAGTGACAGAGGAGTCCAACACAGACTGATGTAGTGGGTATGGTTGAAATGTAACATAGAAATATTTGAACTATGTACATGGAAGAATGGAAAGGGATTTTCTCATATCAGCCTTTTCCTATGTTGCAGTTTCTGAATAGTAGAAACTAACATGCATCCCCTCCTCCCCATTTAACTTATATGTAGTAAGATAACTTTTATGGTCAATCATTTGTCTTTAAGCATAAAACTTGAAGAGATTTTGGCTGCCTGGTGGTCTTGGCTCCTACAGTCTGGTATTGTTAGAACATAACAAAGGAGCATGACTACAAAGCCCTCCTCAACTCCAAGTAGAAAATGATTCCTTCCATTCCATCATTACTTTCAGTTTTAAAACCAAAGGTCCTGTGTCCCAGGAAACTCCTCAGACTCAGGAAAACCAGGAAAGTTGCTCAGCCTACTTGTCACCAAATTTAATTCAGTGCTAACCATGGACCTGGCGCTGTGATACACACTTTAAAAGCCAAATTTCATTTAAATAAATAGAACAAGCCTGTGCAATTGGTTCTATTTTGGCCCATTTCACAGATAAGGAGAAGTCTATTTGGAGAAATGGGGTAAATTGCCTAAACCTTAAAAGGATAGCTCTGGGATTTTTAAGCTGAGGTCCTTCTAAAACTGTCCTGCGGTATAACCATTAGGCTCCTGCCCCCAGTTTCCTATCAATGAATTAAAAGGTTAGAAAGGTTATAGAAAACCTTGCCCGCCCCAGAGTGAAAGTATTAATGGTGTGAAAGGGTTGTGGTAGCCTCACTTATCATGGTTAGGGAGCTGGGGGTGATCAGGGTGTCCATTCATGCTTGGGGCTCATTTCTTGGGTCCCTGCGGGGGGTGAAGAACTGGCTGAACTGCTGTGGAATTGCTTATTTAAAGTGTTGAGGAAGGAACCTACCTTTTCATGTGCACCACATACTTTGTGTCTAGGTAGGTGGGCTTTCCGGTATTCCAGGTACAAGTCATGTTGCCTGAATATTCATAAATTACACAGGTTACCTCGTCAGGGACATCTGGTGGATCTGCAACAAAATGCATCGCTTAGGAGCCACCATAGAAACATGGAGTTCTTTATAAAGCAGTTAGCTGATAAACTTTCCATTTCATTTGGGTAAACAGGTCAACACCCCTCAGCACTTCTCCCATTCATTCCTTACCACCTGACCTTGTAACCCACTCTGCCATAAACACTGCCCCTTTCCTTTATAGATTTCTCTATATACTCTACTTCCTTGGGGATATTAATGTGATCAAGTTCCTCCCATAAAATAAAATAAAAAATTCATCTCCCTAAACTCTCTTCTCTTAGCTACCACTGTATCTTTCTCCTTTTCTTAACCGTTTGACTGCTAAGGAGCACTATCGCACTCTTCTTATTTAAAACAAATTTATGTAAACAATTGGTATTTTTTAATTTTTGTTGTTGCAAAGCAATACAAGTGAGTTTGTTGTATAAAAAGTGTTTTATATTTTTTCCCATACATGCGCAATTAGTACCGCAGTTTGGGCATATGTCCGAAAAAATACGTCAGCAGCCAAACGGTTAATAGCTAAACTTTGTTGTTGTTTTTTAAGAATTCACTATACTGGTTTTTTTCTTCATCTCTTATTCACTTGTAAACCCCAACAGCCAAGAAATTAGCCCGCAATTCCACCAAAACCACATTTGGTAAGGTCTTTAATGATTTCCTAATCAATAAATCCCATGATCTCTTTGCAGTCATTACTGACCTGGACCTCTGCAGTGTTTAGTATTTGGGCCACACCCTCCTTGAAACCTTCTGTACCTTTTGGCTCCTGTGAACGAGTTCTCCAAAGGGTTCTTCTACTTCTCCTCTGGCATCTATTCCACTTTAAAAGTCTAGTGTTCATACCTACTATTGAGTATTAGTCGTAAAAGGAAAGGGAATCCTGACATGCTACAACACAGATGAACCTTGGAGACATTATACTAAGTAAAATAAGTGAGACACAAAGGAGAAATATTGTATGATTTTACTTAAATGAGGTATCGAGAATCCAAAGTCTTAGAGATAGAAAGTGGAATGGTAGCATGGTGGTTGTTGGTGGTTGAGGGTAGGGAGGAATGGGAAGTTGATGGTTAATGGATACAGAGTTGCAGTTTTGCAAGATGAAAAGCGTTCTAGAGAGGGACTTTTTCAGGAGCCACTGTAAAAGAGGCAGCCTCTTTCCCCCTGAAATTACTGTTTCGGAGTAATAGGGAGCCGTGAGTTACTGGTTGCACAGCAATGAACTCAATGCCACAGAACTGTACACTTAGGAATAGTTAAAATGGTATGTTTTATGCTGTGTCTGTTTTACCACAGTAAAAACAAGATTTTTAAAAATGTTGGTAACCACAGAATTCTATTTCAAAGTTCTTTCTCCCTTCCTCCACCCTTCCTCTGTGCTTTCTCTGAGTGGCCATATTATAGAGGAAATTATTAGATTTTGTCTGCTAGCATTTTTCTCTTTTCAGCACTGACATCTCCCTCATCCCCTCGCCACCCCCAAGGGCTATCCATCACTAGGCTCCACAGAGAAGCATGCCCTTGACCTAGGCTGATTAATCAAGTATTTCTCTTGGGAATGACCACATGACTCAAGATGAATCAATCAGAATTTTCCCAGGGACCTTTCCAGGAGCCATTGTAAAAGAGGCAGCCTCTTTCCCCTTGAAATTACTGTCTCTGAGTAATAGGGAGTCGTGAGTTGCTGGTGGCCATCTCCCTGTCATAGTGAAACTGCCTATTTAAGAATGAAGTCAACACAGGGGAGACAAAACCCAAGAGATGGGAAAAGATCAGAGAGTTCTGATGGTAGAGTTTGAGCCCTTGGGGCTTCTGGAGCTGATGAAACCCCAACAACTATGGAACAGCACCTGGAATTTTCAGTTACACCATCCAGTAATAAATTACCAAGAAAAAGATAAAAAAAGAAGTATGGAAATATTGAGTGCTGATTAAACACTCACTTTTCAGGCGCTGCTCTCTCAGCTTGTGCCTACATGTGCAATCCTGACTGGGAAACTAGACTATTCAGAGAACGACCAGACACATGGCAGAATGGAGGCTCATAAAGAATAAATGTACAGACATTTGTGCACCTGAAGTTATACCCAAAGATTTATCTTAAATCTAAATATACTTCTCGCAGGTCACCTGCAAATTACATACCAGGAATATTACTTGTAAAATCGGAAATAAAATGCAAAAAAAGTTATCCTCATTGCAAATTGAAAAGATAATAGGTATCATTTTGACCCATAAAAATGGCAAGGATTTTGAAAAATGGCAATCCTCAGTGTGGGAATGGACAAAGGACAATCCCTTAATACACTTGTGCAAATTGCTACAGCCTTTATGGAGAACACTTTACATATCATAATCTTTAGAAGCTAGAATAATATCTTGCAACTCAGCAATTTTACATCTAGGATTGCATTCTTAATGAAATGGTCATTTAGCTAAAAAATTTGCCTCTTAAAGTATTGTTTATTTTAATAAAAATTTAGAAACAAACTTAATAACCTAACATAAGGTTAAAGAAACTATAATGCACTCCTAAAATACATTCCAAAACAATGTAGAATACAATTATGTATGTTTAATTAGTTTAGTAAGTAATTAAATAATGGTCATATGATAAAGTGAAAAAAAACAAATTGTGATGTAGTATAGTATAGTGGTCTCATTTGAGAGACAGAGAGAGGGGGATTAAGGGGTAGAAAGAGAGAGATAGAGAGAGAAACGTGAAAGATACTCTGAATTATTAAAGAGGGATTCTATTAGTGAGATTATGGGATTATAGAGATAATGAGTACTTCTTTTTGCTGGTCTAAAAATTTTAAAACTTTATGCATTGACTCTGCAGTGTTTAGTATTTGGGTCACACCCTTCTTGAAACCTTCTGTACCTCTTGGCTCCTGTGAAAGAGTTCTCCAATGGGTTCTTCTTTGAGTTACAATTGGGAGAAAAAGGATGCCAAGTAAGGTAAAGAAAGCTTTAAATTTTATTTGCACCTTAAAGGAGATAGCTGTGGACACAGACATTTAAGTCATTTTGAATATTGATTGAATTGTGGTCTCTCAATGATTACAGTGATTTGTGCTGAAATTATTTTTGTTTTCTGGTTTCAGATAAGAGTATCATTGAATTAGTCATCATGAAAGACAACTGTCAATATTTTGGGATATGCTATTTATTCCACAGCATTCTATCTGAAGTGAATGCTCAGGGTTATAATTGTCTGATGATTTATTAACTTTGCAAAAGGCCAAATAGATATATATACACACACACACAAATAAGCACAATACCTATAATAATAAAAGCATAATATGCTAATTAGACCGGACGTCCTTCTGGACGAAGCTGTGGCGTTGGGGGCTGAGGCAGAGGTGGCCACCACGGTGGTGGGGGCCTAACCCCTAGTTTGTAATATTAATGTTAAGCTATGTAAAGATGGGAATGTGAGTATGGTTATGAGAGTAAGACCAAATTGTTGTTAGATCTCATTTCCAGGTTATTCAACGTTCAAGAATAAAAACCTACTTTACAACTAGATACTAAAATTACCCTGAAATATGCAAGGATGAGGCTTAAGTTTTTGCTCTTGCCTACCAATGCCATCCTCCCCTATTGGAGCACTTATTAATCACAGGCCAGGTTTCTAATTAATTCAGAGTCTAGAGATCATTTTCTACTGAGAGCATCTTGAAAGCAGAGTCTGTGACTCCCTCTTCTTTGAATTTCTAGCATTTAACACATTTTTAGTGCATAGCAGTCTCTCTATAAAGTATACTTCATGAATTGACTGGCTTGATTAATAACATGGTAATCATAAGCAGACTTAAAATGAGAACAGACCCAGTGCTTCTGACAAAGATCAGTCCTTAATTCCTTCTCCAAGGACAGCACAAGCCAACCTGCTTGTGCCAGTAATGCTACTTAATAGCAATGCTAAAGATGAATATTCAGGACTTTTGTTGGATAACAAGTTTGCTTTTATCAAGGTAAGTAGAGATCAAAGATGGTTAAAATTTAAGTCAAATATGTTTAGAATTTTAAATAAATGATTAAGTGGTGATGTGATTGTCCCATGTAAGGTTTATTTTAATTTGGCATTTTTAAATGCATAAAGGCATCTCATAGTGTTTGATTCCAGGATTGGTGTTATTTTGCTAGAACAAACTTCCCATAATAAGCATGCATGTAATCACAGACAAGAAACCAAGATATGTTTAAAATTATGGCTACAAATGAAAATTGTAATAATAAGTTTGTGTTTCACAAACTACACATTAAAGTACAGATCATTTTAAATATATATAGAGGAATAGATAACTTTTCAGGGAAAGCAATGATTCATTTATCTTCTCTTTTATGACTTGTCTCCAGTTTAAAAATATACCTATGATCATTTTGTTTGAAGCAGTAACGATAAATCGACATGGTAAAGCTCACAGGACAAATATCCTGTGATCAAAGTGATCCAGTGAAAGCAATGTGATTTCTAGAGTACCACAAAAACCCTCAAAAACCTTTTTTTCTGACCTACTTAAAAAGGAAGTTTTGTGTGCTAAGAATGCAGAACCCAAGGACACAGGGGTTCGAGTAAATTTTTACCTGGCAGTTACAATTCCATACTCATAACCAGAGGTCTATGTGAGAAGTTACAACTCACCAAGTAAATATTTTTTTTTAAGAGTGATGTTCTTTCTAAGCAGCCATTTGCAGAGAATAAGTGCTTCGTTATATTGTCCTAGAAGGGGAGAGAGCAAAGGCCATTCCCTGACCTTAAGCATCACCCAATGGTTTGGGGGGTGGGGGGCTCAGAGGCGCTCAGCCAACACTGGGAGAGCTCCTGGTGGGAATCTGTCACCCAAGCTGCAGCTCAGGGAAGGAAGCCATGCTTCTTCGGCCTCTTCCTTCCTCTGCCTTCAATCAAAAACTAACCTTTCCTCGTAACTGTGGAAGTTGTTAATTTGCCCTCTGAAAAAAATGATATATTATCTCAACACCCCCACCCCAAAGGATAAATAGTGAAGTAGTTAAACATTAAAGCTTATTTATATTTCCTGAGGATGTGGACAAGGTAGAGTCCTCATACATCAGATAAGATGTCTGCCTGTGGTTTCAATTACCACAATTTAGGGCAAGTTTAGCATATTGTTATCAGTTTAAGGCATACATTTGCCAACCTTATTCTTTGACTCCAAAACATACTACTTCCTTTTCAACTACTTTTCTCCCTCGGTGTACTTCTACCACCTCCCATATTTCTTCTCTATCTTTAAAAAAAAAAACATTTTTATTGATTCTTTTAAAGAGGGAGGAAGGGGGAGAGAGAAAGAAACATTAATGTCAGAGTGGATTTATCTACTGCCTACCCACCTGAGCATGTGTCCCTGACCGGGAATCAAACCAGCAACCTTTTGGTTTGGTGCATGGGATGATGCCTAACCCACTGAGCCACACCAGCCAGGGCTTCTTCTTTTTTTTTTTTTAAACTTGCAAGATCAGGTAACCAGAGTTAAATAGGACAATGGCCTTATTTGAGATCCCCTGCTTTTCAGTTATCCATTCTAGGGTCCAGGTGGTCTGGCTCTTACAGGTAAGGTCTGGAGGTGAAGAAGTAAGAACTCAGATTTGATTCTCATAAGTGTGGAGGAAGAGAACATAGCACATACCCAAAGCCCTCTACTTTCACTGAACATGGGCCTAGATGTCATCTATGTACATAAAAGCCAAGCGACTGGAACGACTGGTCGCTTTGACTTGCACTGCAGCCAGCCAACCGGGCGGATGGAAGAAGGGCAAGACAACCTCCTGCAGCCCCTCCCCCCTGCCGGCCCCAAATGACCCTGATTAGGACAGGCTGGCCAGATCCCACCCGTACACAAATTTGTGCACCGGGCCTCTAGTAGGGAATAAATATCTGGGTTAAAACAGTGCTGAATTATTGATCCATCTTTCATAATAGTACAACAAAGAATTAAGTATATTATTATGCAAGTCAGCCCATATTACTCTAATAATTTAAACATCTTTAGAATGCTTGAACACAAATTGAATTTTAGCAAATATTTTAAAGATTAACTTGATATATTTTTTCTTAATAATTAAGGTAATAAACATAATGATTCACAATTGGGGCAGTGGGATTAGAAGCAGGGAATTGTATCAGAATCTTCCATGTTTTGTCCAAAGGATGTATTTTTAAGGGCTTAGGCACATTGGTTGTACTTTAAAGTGTATAAAATGCTTTAAAAAATTATTAAAATTAAGGGCTTACCACAGTCAGTATAATTTGCCTCATTTTACAGATATGGAACTGAGGCTTGGATTCGTTAAGCAACTTGCCCAAGGTCACACAGCTGGTAAGGAGTGTAGCAAGAACACAAAGATAGTTTTGCAACTGTTTTTCTCCCTAAATCTTAGCTGCAAAATTTTACAGGTGGATCTGCTTCAAATTTGATTATATTAATTTGGAAAAATAAAAACACACATAAGCGAAAAACAGATGAAAAAACATTTAACACCTGCGTTTGTTGCCTCTCCTCTACGCTGTATCTGACCAGGTAACTGTTGAAAATTGTTTTTTTGGAGCTGTTGGTAACATGGAAACATTTATAGAGTTCACTTTAAAAGTTCATATTTCAGTCTTCTTCTAAAGAGTCAAAAATTCTGGGAATACTGAGCCCTCGCAACTGCTGGAGCTGGGCAGTGGCTGTCCCAGTAGACCATATCTCTGCTTTCCTCTCTGCACAGATCCCACCAGCTTTTGTAACTCATTTATTCCACCAGTCTGGCCCCTGGAGACATTTAAGTTTGCAATTCCTGTATTAAACTAATAGAAGAAGTGAACTATATCAATTTGCCTCTATTTTTAGACAAGTTGGTGATTACCAATGATGGTTAGACAAACTTTTATTTGGACTGTGAATGCACCCCACACACTTACATCCAGAAGAGATGTCTTCCCCACATATCAGCGTCTCTTGAGAATATCCGGGACATTCAGCTGTGCAGCGCAGGGAGGCACGTGGTTCCAGAAAGCTGTCATACCGAAGCTTAGCTGTCGTTTTATTAATCCTTGTGATTTTCAATCCTTCTTTGATGTTATTTTTATAAAAATAAAATTTCCTTGGTTGGCAGTTCTTAATTGTGGCTTGGCAATATATGGAAATATTCATACCCATCTTAAAAATTTTGGCTGGTTCTACCCAGATGTGGCCAGAGCAGTTTATATTTGTAATTCCTGGAAATAAGTAGATTAAAAGAATAAATTCCATATAAAACATTAAAGCAGGAGATTTTTTAAAAAATAGGCCATTACTTTTAAAGTGTATTCTTTTCTATTAATTAAATGAATTTCATTGGGAAAAAGTTGGGCACTAAATGTATCTTTTAACTGATTAGCTTATTGCCATATATTTTTACTATGCTTCTGTTAAGATGCAGGAGCATGACAAAAAACTAGTATCGGCCTTTAAGCTTCTCTGTCTAAAGAGCAAGTATAATTAGCTCTCTTATTTTAAAGCAGAGAACCAAGGCATTATGAGGTTACACCTTTTTTGAAAGGTAAGATTAGATATGACACTTGGCACTACAGAATCTAAATCCCAACTAATCAATCAGTCTTCATTATTTTTTTTTTTTTAGATAAAGGCTACTTTACCAGAAAATTCAGAGTTTAATGAATAAAACCATACTGCTACTTATGGCCGAAATCTATTGCTCGGTAACCACTTAAAATTCACTCTAAATTTAATAATATGGGAAGTGTTCAGAATTTTTTTAAGTTAAAAAGAGCATTGCAAAATAACGTATGTAATTGTAATATACATTCATGTTAGAAAGAAATAGATGGATTAATTAAAGAGAAATACACTGATATTAACAATGAATTATTAAATCAATAATTTTTCAATACACAGGAGTCAACATGGATTGCATAAGAATAGGTCACAGAAAAATATGTTAACTTCTCTTTTGAATAGGGTTCTTGGATTGGTCAGAGGAATGTTAAACATGGTATATATATATATATTTTTTTTTTTAATTCAGCAAAGCTATTTAAAAAGGGTAACATAAAATTCTAGTAGAAAACTTGGAAAAGATCGTCTGGACTATATTAAAAATTTTCATAGCAGATTGAAAAATAATATATATATAAAAGGCTAAGTGTCAATCCATCCAACCAGTCGCTATGACATGCACTGACCACCAGGGGACAGATGCTCAACACAGGAGCTACCATGACACGCACTGGCCATTTAAAATTAAACGGCACCATGGACCTGGTGCCAACAAAGCAACACTTGGCTTCCCCCAAGTGGGACACAGGCCCTGCCTGCCACCACCCCTGAGCGATACCCCACCAAATTGCAGCCGACACTGCCGAGACCCCATGGCCCAGAAACGGTCACTGTGGGCGTTGGGTAATGAAGTCACATAGCGACGCCTGGCTTCCTCTCCCTAGCAACTAGCCTCCTTGGAGTTTCTTCAGTCCAGGAACCTGACTTGCTTTATAGCCAAGTGCAAACATTTTAAACTTTAACCAAATGTCTGTGAAGCATTTTCCTGTGCCTCATCTCACCTGATCCTCACAGAAGTCCTGGAGCAGGTAGATAGGAGACTCGGTAGAATCTTATTTTCTTTTCATTAGCCGGAAAACGAAAATTTAGAAAGTTTAGGAACTTGACCCAACTGAAAAGAAGTAAGAAATGGTGGAACTTGAAAATGACTTCACGTTTTCTCACTGCACAGAATATAGTCAAACACTGCTGCAGTTAAATAGTTTACCCTTTGTTCTCCCTGTGTGATCTTTAATATTAATCTGCTTCATGTTGATATTTACTGCTGTGTTGCTGATAATTACCTGAAAGAGAAGTTGGGGTGCTTCACTGGATTGGAAAAAGTTCAGCTAAGTCAGAAAGCAGGTCTAATTAAGCAAGTTTATCTATACATCTAAAGCTCTCGCTGGTGCCAATCACAGGCGTGTTTTGATCTGTCATTGTCGATCGTGAATTTATTTGTCACTTC